AAAAAAAAAAAAAAAAATTATTATAAAAGTCCATGCTGATATTAGTAAAATTGTAACTTTTTAAAAGGCTGAATAATCAAAGGATACTGCGGAAAAGCAAAGCTGTCCCTTACAAGGTGGGTCAATTATCACCTAGAAGTGCGGATGGAGTTAGTATTAAGGAAAGTCAAAAGATACAGAGATAGGTAAAAAACATTCCAGTATCTAAACAGAAAGGAGACAGGAGGAAAAGTAGAGAGAAAATATCTAGAATTCTTTGGTCTAAAAAAGATACAAGTTTTAAGATTAAAAAGATTCATCCCTGTTAAGTATGAATTATTGACCAAAAATGTCAGATTATTTCAAAAGGAGTGATTGTGAACCTATTTATCACAGTGCACTAAAATTTACACTGAAAAATGAAAAGGTTGTCACAAAGAAAAATTTCAAACAGATGGAAGTAAGTTAATTGAATAACAGGGTAAAAAGGAAATTTAAAAACCATTAATCATTTAGTATTTAATACAAAATTGGGACTTCTTGGGAAAATGTCTAGTGTCTGGTCATGGCAAGAATGAAAACAAGGAGCTGGAGTCCTTCATTGTAGAAGCAAGCAAAGAAATGACCAAAGGGGTTCCTGAGGTCAGATCAGACAGTTTTGTTTTTGTTTTTGTTTTTGGTACCGGGGATCAAACTTGGGTCCTTGGCTTGCGCGGCAGGTGGCAGAACCACTGAGCTAAATCCCCAGCCTAGACAGACAGTTTGATCCCTGGTACTGGAAAAAAAAAGAAAGAAAGAAAGAAAAAGTAAATAAATAAATGCAAAATTGAATATAACAATCTATTTGAAAGAATTAAGATATCACAGCCAAGTAAAGTTCATCCTAGAAATTTTTAAATGCTTCAATATTAGGAAATTTAATCACATTAAAAAATTAAAAGAGAAAAAATCTTATGATCTCAGTAAACCGATGAAGTATTTCATAAAATTTATTTATTTTTTAAAAAATAAGAAATGCCAAAATAAAATAGGAGTAGCATAAAACTCTTAAGGAAATCTATCAGTATGCCTTCCACTTAAGGGGAAGACATTAGAATCTTTCTCACTAAAGCTGTGGAAAAAGCAAAAGTGGCTGTTATGAAGCTCTTCCTATTCAACATTATAATGGAGGTCCACACCTCTACACTAATAAAATGTACTGAAAACACATAAAACTATTTTGTAGGGAGAATTTTTAATGAAAAGCCAAGACCATCAACTGAAAAATTATTATAAAGTTCATTAAAATGGCTGAGTATATCACCCCAGTTACAATGACTATTATCAAAAAGAAAAAATAGCAAATGTTGGTGAGGATGCAGAGAAAGGAAAATTCTCACACACTGCAGAAATGTAAACCTAGTATAGCCATTATGGAAAACAGTATGAAGTTTCCTCAAAACATGAGAAACTATCACATATGATCCACGATCCACTAAGCCCACTACTGGGCATAGAGCCAAAGGAATGAAATCTGTATGTCAAAAAGACACGTGGCCTGGGGGTTTAGCTCAGTGGTTCTCCCACCTGCTTTGCAAGCACAAGGTCCAGAGTTCAATCCCCAGTACCAAAAAAAGACATTTGCACTCCCATGTTTTCTGCAGCATTTCTCAAAATAGCCAAGAAAAAAAATCAACCTAGGTGTCCATTAAGAGATGAATAAAGGAAATACAGTAAATAAAAATGTTATATCATTCAGAATTATTCTGCCATAAAAAAGTATGAAGTCCTGTCATTTGTGGCAACATGGATGAGCTTGGAAGACCTCATGTTAAGTAAAGTAAGTCAGGCACAGAAAGACAAATGCCACTTATTCTCACAAATGAAAGCTAAAAAGCTGGTCTCCTAGAAGTCAAGAATAGAGGGTACCAGGGGCTGGGAAGGATGGGAGGAGAGGAATAGAGAGAGGATGCAGGTTACAGGAGGGTATGGGATGAAGTTGGCTAAGAGGAGCAACTTCTAATGTCCTATGGCACAGCTAACTATGGTTGACAGCAATTGTGTATTTCAATAGCTGGTGGCAAGGATTCTGAATATGACCAACACAAAGCAGTGATAAATGTTTGAGGCGGTTAACATGCCAGTTAGCCTGATCTGATCATTACACACTGTTGCAAAATCACAATGTACCCCAATGTAGAATCATTGGATCAATTAAAAATTGTCAAGGTGACCATGGGATCATCATACCAAAATCAACACCTTTCTCAGGTATAACGTTCATTACAAAATGTAGTGGGCAATAACCTGTTCACAGTAGTGAAAATGTTTAAATCAATACAAGAATAAAACTTACTAACATAACAGCAATTTTGCTAAAGGACATCAAAATCTGAAAAACTGAAAGAGTTCATATTATCAAATATCAGTATACTCCCTAAAACTAATCTGTAAATTTAATTAATTTTTAAATAGAACTTTTAAAATGTTGATTATAAAATTCATATGGAAGATAAATGACAGAAAAGTAACCACAATAATTTTGAAAATGAAGAACACTGAAGAGGTATCAAATGCTATTTCAAACCTCATTTTTTTTTTTGGTACCAGGGATCGAACTCAGGACCTTGCACTTGCAAGGCAGGCGCTGGAACCACTGAGCTAAATCCCTAGCCCCTCAAATGCTATTTCATATTAAAGTAATAGTGATGTTGTACGGTAATTCAACAACATAGTACCAATAGCAAGATAAGAAATAGCTCAAAGGACTGTGAATAGAGAATACAGAAATAGGTTCGACTATATTTGGAATTTTCTTTGTGATACAGGTGTCATTCAAAGCTGGGCACGTTGGCACATGCCTGTAATCCTAGCACTCTAGGAGGCTGAGGCAGGAAGATCTCAAGTTCAAGCCCACCAAGGGCTCAAAAAAATTTTTTAAAAGCTGGGGATGTAGTTCGATTGGAAGACCCTGGGTTCAATCCTCAACACCACAGTAAATCAGTAAGTCACAAACATACATACATATAGCATTCAAAATAAGAAAAATATGCCAGGCATGGTGGCACATGCCTGTAATCTGATACTGGGGAGGCTGAGCCAAGAGGATCTCAAGTTTAAACCCATCCTGGGAAACTCAGACCCTATCTCAAAATCCTTCCACGCTTTGCTAGTGGGAATGCAAAACAATACAGTCACCTTGGAAGACAGTTTGGCACTTCTTTTTTTTTTTTGGTACCAGGGATCAAACTCAGGACCTTGTACTTCCAAGGCAGATACAATGCCATGGAGCTAAATCCCTGGCCCAAATTTAGTACTTTTTAATAAAACTAAATCTATTCTTTTTTTTTTTCTTTTTGGTATGGGGATCAAACTCTGGACCTTGCACTTGTGAGGCAGGCGGTGGAACCACTGAGCTAAATCCCCGGCCCCTAAATCTATTCTTAACATATAACCCATCACTCATTCCTTGTCATTTACCCAACGGAGATGAAAATTTATACCCACACAAAAGCCTGCATGCAGATGTTTATTCCAACTTTATTCAGAATTGCTTTATTCAGAAGCCACCAAGATCTCTCCTGGAATAAACTGTGGTACATCCAGACAGTGGAATATTATTCAGCATTAAAAAGAAATGAACTCTCAAGCCATAAAAATTCAAAGAAGAAATTTAAAGAGATATAACCAAGTCAAGAAAGCCAATCTGAAAAAGCCACTACATGCCCTTTGATTCTAATATATGAAGTTCGGGAAAGGGCAAGACCATGGGGACAGTGGAAAGCTTTGTGGTTGTCAGGAGTTGAAAGGAAGAAGGGATGAGGAGGCATAGCATAGACTCTGGGGCCAGAGAAATATTCTTTTACAGTGGTGGACACATGGACTGTATATCTGTCAGAACCTCAGGAGTGACCTGTAGCATGACTTGGGGACTCCGGGCCCTGATGCTAGTGGCCGTGGCTAGGGAGCTGCTGGCCGGGTAGGCCACAACTGTGTGGGCTAGAGGGGCAGCAGATGGCAACACTGTGCTTTCCACTCAATTCTGCTGTGAACCTAAACCTGCTCTAAAAAGCCTATTATTTATTTATTTATTTATCTTTGCTACCGGGGATGGAACTCAGGACCTTGCACTTGCTAGCCAGGCGGCACCACTGAGCTAAATTCCCTAGCCCTAAAAAAGCCTATTTTTAAAAAATACGTTTTCCTACTCCTCACCCTACATTCAATAAAAAGTAAAACTAAAAGCTAAATGCACAGAAAAATTCTGGAGAAACATAGCCACCCTAATTAAAAATTTTTAAATCGAGGGCCAGAGATTTAGCTCAGTGGTTCCGCCACCTGCCCGCAAGCACAAGGACCTGAGTTCAATCCTCAGTACCAAAAAAAAGAAAAAAAAATTTTAAATCAGCAACCCACAGCACACAAATAAAAAACTTCATTCCTAGGAAAATAGACTAGGTTATTTATATCAGTGCTGAAAACTAAAGTGCTGAATTTTTGAGTATATTTAAAGTACTGAAGACCTAATATATTACGTATTTACAAGTCAACAATGTAAGGAAAAGCCAGAACCCAGAGAAGTAAACCAAGCACTTAATCAGCCTTGAGAGCTAATACCAAGTGTTCAGGCATAACAAGATCCTTGTAATAAGAGCAGGATAAAGGAATCCAACTTCAATTTAATGAAGTACAGTATATCTATTGCAGACTTACTAAAAGAATGAGAAAGTATATAAACTCCAAACAGTGGGAAAGCAAAAACACAGGAATAATTGGTCCAAAACACTCAAGAAAAGTGAGAATAATATTAAAGAAATGGGACAAAGAAATTACAAAATAAAATGTTAGGACTAAATACAAATGATTTGTATCAGGGCATTAAATGAACTACAGGTGGGCATGGTGGCACATGACTATGATCCCAGCACTCAGGAGGCTGAGGCAGGAGGATCACTGTGAGGTCAAAGCCAGCCTGGGCTACATAGTGAGTTCAAGATCAGCCTGAACTACATAGTGAGACCCTGTCTAAAACCAACCAACCCCAAACAAATGAACTACATTGCTTTAGCTGAAAGACTGAAGTCAAACTACACTTTTTAAAAATTCAAATATTTGCTGCTTACAGAAGAGATATCTAAAACTAGAGAAAATATGGAAGAAAAGATGAGGACAATATGCCTTTAAATACAAAGAAAATTGGTATATTACCATAAAAACAGATTTTAGACAAAAAGCATTACAAGAGATAAAAACGGGAACTTTACAATGGCAAATAATTCAATTCACCAAGAATTCTGATAATTTTAAGTTTCAGTACACCTAATGACATAATCTTAAAATATATAAAGCAAACATTGACAGAGCTACGAGGATAAACAGAAAATACAAAATTATGATGGGAGACTTTAACATATTTCTCTTACTAATTAACACAACAAGCAAACAAAAAACTCAGTAGGAGCTGGGGATTTAGCCCACTGCCTGTCTTGCAAGCACAGGGTCCCAAGTTCAAACCCTGGTACCAAAACAAGATAAAAACAAAAAGGCTGGGGTGTAGCTCAGTGGTACAGCACTTACATAGCATCCACAAGGCCCTGGGTTCCATCCCCAGCAAGGTGAAAAAAAACAAAAACAAAAACAAAAACTCAGTAAGATACAGAAGTTTTCAATCAATCCCAACCCTTGACCAAGCATGATCGCAGGAAAGTGAGCGCACATGCATGCACACACGGCAAATGCCTGTCAACAGCAGGACACATCTCTATCTGTGTTCACAAGGTATTTATTGAAAATGACCACTTGTGGAGTCAAGAGCAACGCTCAGCATATTTTAAGGGGATTGTAATCACTGATACATATTCTTTGACCACAACGTGATTATGCTAAAAATCATCAGAAAAAGTAAGAAATCCTCCCAAATTTGGAAATCAAGAAACATTCTTCTAGCCAACCTCAGTGGGACATATCTGCAATGCCAGCACTCAGGAGTCTGTGTCAGGAAAATCACAAGTTCAAGCCCAGCCTGGGCAACTCGGGGACTTAGTGGGATTCTGTCTCAAAATTAAAATTAAAAGGGGCCGGGGATTTAGCTCAGTGGCACCACGTTTGTCTTGCAAGCGCAAGGTCCCGAGTTTGATCCCTGGTAACACACACATAAAAAATTAAAATTAAAAAAAGAAATTAAAAGTGGGAGGAGGCTAGAGATTTAGCTTAGTCCAAAGGAATTGGGTTAAAAGAAAAAAAAAAAACCCTTCTAAATAACCCCTGAGTCTAAGAAGATATCAAAATCAGTTACGAGTTCCCTGTCAGCTTCTAGCATTTCTAGCACATGGTGAACAGAAAAGCATTCTTAGAGGAAATCATAATGAAAAATTTCCAGCTTTCTTTTTAAAGAAAATAGTGAGATAAATATTCATCTCAAGAAGTTATAGCTGGCCATGCGGATACATACCTGTAATCCCAGCACTAGAGAGGCTGAGGCAAGAGGATTGTCATAAGTTTGAGACCAGCCTGGGTTCCATAGTGAATTCAAGACCAGCCTGAACTACATGGTGAAACTGTCTCAAAAAAACAAAAAAAAGTAGTTAGAAAAAGATGGTAAAACAAAAACAATTAAATGAAAGAAAACAGATAAGATCAGAAATAAATGAAATCAAAACACAATCAAAAGGATCAACAAAGGCAATTCTCTGTAAAAACAAAAAATGATCACTCTTTAGAATTATTAAAATACATAATTCACATTATTGGAAATGAGAAGGAATAGGCAATGTGCACATTTAAAATCTCAAGAAAACTTTAAAATTTCTAAAAGTCTGAAGAACTGGAAGAAAAAATATCACAAAAAATAAAAAACCTCAGAGACCTTTGTGGTACCACCAAGCATAACTGGAATTCAGAAGAGAAAAGCAAAAGAAGAAAAATGGATGCATCATATTCAAAAGACAAAAATATGAAAACAGAGAATGCTATCTTACCATATTTAAGGGAACCACAATATATATGATCAATGCTTATTTATCATCAGAAATCAGGCAGGAGAATGGCATTCAAACTTCTGCAAGAAAAAAAATCTGTCAAACAAGAATTCCATATCTAGCAGTACTACACTCCAAAAACAAAAGTAAAATAACAACATTCTGGAGGGAGGGAAGGAGGAGGGGACATAAAAAGAATGAGGACATGTTATGTTCATGTACCAGCTCTCCATGAAGTATGTAATCATTATGTACCACAAAAATGTACTATTCAAAATAAAAATTATAAAAAAGAAAATCTACCAAGCTGTACACTTTTTAAAAGTGACATTCTGAAACAAATAATGATTGCAAATATGTTAGCCAACCTACCTTGCAAGAATCACTAAAGGAAATCCTCCTTTTGAAAAGAGATACCAGTACATGATGACTCACTCACATTTACAAGAAATAAAAAACAAGGTAATTTCTTTTCAGTACTAGGGATTGAACCTAAGGCCTGCTCACAGTGCTACATCTGTAGCCCTCCTAGAATGCTGGGGTTACAGTGCTGGCTACATAAACAAATAGGAAAGACTCCATGTTTTCATGTTTCATTTCTTAATGGATTTAAAACATAACTGCAAGGATCAATAATTATTAAAGTGTGGCATTATAACATATAAAAATATAATATATATGACCACAATAGCAAAAGGGAGGAAACAGATCTCTATTAGAGTGAAGTTTTTATATTTTATTGGAGTTTTCTGGAATATAATTTATTGAACTTAATATTAATCAGAAGTAGGCTTGTTATAAGTTAATATATTATAACCTTTAAGGAACCTCTAAAAAAATAATTCCCAAACAAGAATTAAAATGACATACCACAAAATATATGTGGTATGAAAAAAAATACAGTGGACAATTAAATTTTAAAAATTTTATTACAGTAAAAGACACATTACCATTAGTCTCCCTCAAAATACTCCCTCTCAGGCCGGGGATTTAGCTCAGTGGTTTCACTGCCTGCTGTGCAAGCACAAGGACCCGAGTTCAATCCCCAGTACCAAAAAAAAAAAAAACCTCCCTCTCAATCTGAGCACACTTATCCCATCATTCTTGCCATTTTCTAAAGCAGTTCTGGAAGTCCTCTTTCCTGTTTGTTTTTGCTACCAGGGATCGAACTCAGGTCCTTGCACTTGCGCAGCAGGCGGCGAAACCACTGAGCTAAATCCCCAGCCCTCCTGAGTGTTTTTGCTTGCACTGTTTGTAGCTGCTTCGAAGTCCCAATTCAATTCAAAACTTTTACCTTTCATGGTCATTTTGACTTTGAGGAAGAGAAGGAAGTCAGAGAGTGCAGATCTGGTGAATAAGTGGATGAGAACACACTAGCATTTTTATTTTTATTTTTTTTCCGGTACTGGGGATCGAACTCAGGACTTTGCGCTTGCAAGGCAGGCACGGTGCCACTGCGCTAAACCCCTAGCCCACACTAGTATTTTTAGAAACCTGCTTTTCCATTGTACATCTCTCATCAATAGTATTCACCAAATTTTCAATTGCACCTCATAAATACACTCACAAGAGGACTGCTCTTTTTAAAAGTGTTTGAAGTGAGGGGGGATGCTTTATTCTGAGGTAGATTAATGGCAATGTCTTTTATTGTGATAACTTTTTAAAAATATAAACACTGACCATATTTTTTATGACACCTTATATATCTTATATAAAAGGTAGTTTAAAAAAAAGAGAACAACAAAAAGAGAAAACAAAACCCAACTACCAAACTAATGAGTTGAGCAAGTCTGCAAGTACAAGATCAATATACTGAAATCATTTTAATCTCTATATACTACTCATAAACTTCTGAAAATGAAGTTAAAATAATTCCATTCATAAAAACACCATAAAAAATAAATTACTTTGGAAAAAGAATTTAAGAAATACTCTGAAAAAGTACAATTGTGGCTGAAATTTTTAAAGATCTGCCTAAGCAGAGAGAGATTCCATTCCAACTTGGAATTCCATTCCCAGTTCAAAGATGGAACTCAATGTGAAGATAGCGGTTCTCGCCAGGTTCATCTCCGGAGCCAACAAAATCCCTAACAAAACACTGGTAGGCTGTTTGCAAAAAATGACAAGCCAATCTTAAAGTTTATTTGGAAAAGCAAAAAAATCCAACATAGCCAAAAGTTCTGAAAAAGAACAGTTAAAAGATTTATACCTTCCTATTTCAAAACTAAATATGAAGCAACAGTAATCAAGAGAGTATGGTCTTAGCAAAAGTACTATACAGTGACAGAGATGAATGGAACAAAACCTAAAGTCCAGAAATAAATCCTTATATCCATGGTCAATTAATTTTTGGTCAATTAATTTTTGATAAGAGCATTAAGGCAATTCATCAGAGAAGGGTGGTCTTTTCAAGTTATGGTGTTCAGACACTTGGATATCCACATCCAAGATAAATGTAGATCCTTCATACCACATAAAATAATTAACACTAAAGCGATCATAAACCTAAATGTAACAGTTAAAATACAAAAAACTTTTCAAAGAACAGGAAATCTTTATGACCATAGTGTAAGCAAAGAGTTTTTAGGTGACTCCTGAAGTATGATTAAGAGAAAGAGACAGAAATTGGATTTAATAAAAACAAAACTTGGTGCTATAAAAGACACCATTTAGAAAACAGAGAAAAGATGTTTGCAAGTCTGATACAGGACTCATGTTCAGAACATATAAAGAGCACCTACAACTCAACAATAAAAAGACAAACCCCAGGTTAAAAATAGGTAACAGATTTGAAGAAACAAATGTTTATAAACAGAGGAAAAGATGCTTAGCATTTTATTAGGAAAATGTAAATTAAACCACAATGTGGTATCACTTCACAGCCACTGAAAAGCTACAATAAAAGACAGACAATAACAAAGTGTTGCTGAACTGGTGAAACTGACATTCATCTATTACTGCTGGGAATATAAAATGAAACATTTCACATTTCGGAAGGTAATAGAAAGGCAGCAAAATTGGCTTGTGATGGTTACAGAGCTCAATAAAGAAAATCTCAGTAAAATTGTTTGAAAGAAAAGTTAAGTGGGCATGACAGTGGATGTCTATAATCTCAGCTACTTGGGAGGCTGAGGCAAGAGGATCCAAGTTTGAGGGTTGCCTGGGCAATTTAGCAAGACCCTCTGGGAAGGGAAAGGAAAAAGGAAGAGGGAAGGGAAGGAATGGAATGGGGAAGGGAAGGACGGAGGGGGAGAGCAGGGGAATTATACTGCCAGACCAATTTGCAGTCTATAATACGAGAAGGAGTTAGACACTACTAAGAGGAAACAGATAAATAATATGAGGCATTCTATTAGACAACTGGCTTACAATGAAAAACTATCAAAATGGCAGGACTATTTCAGAGCTATCTACTACAGATGTTTAACTACCAAGCATAATGTACTTTTTTTTTTGGTACCGGGGATCGAACTTGTGACCTTGCGCTTGCGAGGCAGGCACCGGAACCACTGAGCTAAATCCCCGGCCCCATAATGTACTGATTTGACTAGATTAGAAAGACATTGTTGGAGTAGTTGGGGAAACTTGGATTTAGAGTGAACATCTGATATTCACCCTAAAGTTTGGCCATAGCATGTCCTCATTATTAGGAGACAGATACTGCAACAGTGATGCAGTATGTGGTGAAAAAATGTAAATAAGTGGATCTAGCTGAGAAGTACTGAAATAATTCATTTTACCTCTTCAAACTTTTCTATCCATTTGAAAATCCGGATAATAAAGACAGGTTATATTTTATTCCTGCATATCAAAAATAACACTTTAAGGGATATAGTTTATAGTAGCATCCACATATATGACATATTTAGGAATATATACAACAAAAGATGTGACATCTTTGGTGATTATAAAACTTTATTAAGACTTTAAAAAGATTTAAGTAATAAAATATATCATGTTCATGGATTGGAAGCCCCCACTATAAATACAATATAAATTCTTCCAAATTGCCTTACAGACTCACTGCAACTCCAATCAAATTTTCACTGTGTCTCTCAATAAGCTATTTCTAATAATAAGAGGAAAGGATTTGCTATACTATAGATCAAAACATTTTTCTTAAGGATACAGTAATGAAGAGAGTGTAGAGTGGCACAGAAAAGGACCAGTATAACAAAGAAAGAGCTCAGAAGTAGCTTCAAGAATATATCGACACTTACCATACAACAAAGAGGTGCTGAAAGCCATCAGGAAGGGAAGGTTTTTCAATAAACAGTGCTGACCAGCAGATTGGCCAAACAGAGAAGCAAACCATTACTTCACCGTATATGCCAGAGACCCAAGTCGATGGAACCTAAAAGTGAGAGGCAAAACCGTACAGCATTTAATAAGGAAATCACTAACGACATTTTTGACCTAGAGAGAAACAGTAATTTTTAGAAAATGAAATGCAAAATAAGTTAATCATAAGGAAAAATATTGATATATTTGAATATATAAAATGTTAACCTATCAAAAACATTGTGAAAAGACAAGCCACAAAGTAGACAAAGATTTTGCAACACAACTTATAGCATCCAGAATATATAAACCTCTTGCAAACCAATGAGAAAAACAGGTGAAAAATGTTAACATATTCTTCACTTACAAAGGACAAAATCCAAACAGCCAATAAACATGAAAGTTGTTCAGCTTCATTTGATATAAGGAAAATGCTAATTAAAACCATAATGAAATCCATTATATACCTACCAGTTTTTGGTAAAAATCAAAAAGCCAATATACCTGGGAGGAAATTAGTCCAAGAGTCTTCAGAAAACAGTTTGGCATGACCTAGTACAGTTGATTCTAACAAACCCGCTGTCTCTATGGCTCCGTTACATACATACTCTTCCAGATGCATACTCCATCCAGAACACATGTTCATAAAATCCATAGCAGCACTGTCTGTAACATCTCCAAACTTGAAAAAAACCAAATGTCCATCAAGAGTACAATGAAAAATGAATTCTAATACATTCATACAATGGAATAAACTATGGCCACACAGCGATATGAATCTTACAAACATAATGTTTAGCAAAAGAAGTCTCAAAAGTATACAATATAACTTGATTCATATAAGTTTCAAAAATAGGGTATATATGAGTAATAAAACTATAAAGAAAGGCACAGAAATGATGAGTAGGGATGGTATTAAAGTGGAGAGAGAGGTTACGATAGGGAAGAACATATGGGGAGCTTCCAAGGTAAGAGAAATGTAGTATTTCTTGAACTGGTGGCCACATGGATGTTATCATCATCGCCGCCATCATCATCATCATCATTGGTGCTATCAAGGCAAAATGCAGGGGTATTCCACTACTGAGCTACATCCCCAGTCCTTTTAAAATTTTAGTTTTGAGAAAGGGCCTCACTGAGTTGCCCAGGCAAAACTTGAATTTTGCAGTCTTCCTGTCTCAGTCTCCAAGGGTGGGGAGATTACATGTGTGCATACCTGCATGAAAGGTATGTGTTTGTGTATATTTCAGGTACTTTCTGCATATTCCACAATAAGAAAATGTACAAATGACCAGTAAACATGAAAAGATATTCAACTCCACTAGCAATTATGAGAATGGCAAGTTTTAAAAAAACAAGATCACCTGTCATAATTTGCTAAAAAATAGGCTTTCTTACATGCTGCCTATAGAAAGAGCAATGTGACAATATGTATTAAAATGTAAAACTCACTTATCTTGTGAATTTTCAATTCTAAACTAGAACTCCAATTCTAAATACTGAGCCCTAAGGGAATACTAGCATGTATGTGTAAGATATACACACAAAGATGTTTTTCATGCACTACAGCATTGTTTGCAGTGGTGAAAAAAATGAGCAAATGTCAATAAAGGAATCTT